CACCCGTCCCGCGCCTGCCCTCGACAACCGCTCTAGGCTTGAGGAGAGACATCGGCTGCGGGACACGGCGGATGGACCGCGATTGCGTCATTAACCATGTGCCGTGTGTGTGATCTAGTAGAGTGCAGTGTCATGGTGATACAACTTGCTAGTGATAATGAGAGCGACTCCTAATTTGAGACCCGAGGCTCGCTAGGATATCTCTATCGCATATCCCTTACGCCATATCGGGATCTGTATTTTTATTGGAGCGCCAGACTAACGCACCTACGTACTTCTTATTGAGGCCAGCGAGGGACGCTTCAGAGATAAGGTGAGCCGAGAGAGTCGAGCCGGTCTCTGCGTACGCTTATCAGCGCGTCGTTCGCTGATAGCGACACGGATTTTTCGCGTGAACCGATTTTTGTCGCATAATCGTGATGTTTCATATTCCTTATCTTACCAACGCGTCCCGTTTCCTTTGGGTATTGCAAAGGCTGGTCGACCCGGGAACAACAATTTTCTTGGCTAGGACTCTCGAGATTTCAGGTTCTCGGGGGTCAAACTATCACGAATCCCTGATCTAGGAGATTCTTCGAGCTACTCGGTTCTGCAATGTCGTTTACAAAGTGATCTATTTAGAGAATACAGCCGATGCGTAGATCCATAAGATTATGTCTTCGGACGATTGTTAGTATTACAATCTCGATTTCACCGCGCGTACATACTTGTCAATATTTTCTCATTCAAAAGGAATATGAATTTCATTTGCGTTAACAATTGTATGACACATCAACAATTTATAACCCCCCCCCCCTCCCACATTCTCTCTGATTATTCAATTTTGACAAGCGCACTAAGCTTGTACAATTATTTCATATACTGACTCCGACGGTGAGATAGATTTTTTATCAATACAATTGTCGTTTACCTAATAGGAAATAAGAATTCAATATATAAAGAAAATATGTTTTATGAGAAAAATTTAATGCAATGCTACTTAAAGCGGTCGCAAATAATGTTTATATTAACGATTATTTGACTGTAAAATATGGAAATATTTTATTAATAATTAATACCAATTAATTGAATTCATACCATAGAATGTTTCGTACAAATTTACATATTGAAATTCGAATATATATACGGACAATTCAAACTGAAAAATATATTGGCGGCGGAAGTATAAAAAAAGAAACGACTAATAAGTGGTTTATTAAATTTGAGGATAAGTTACAAAAAAAAGTGTAAACTCACTTATATTTTTATAACATTAATCTAATTCAAATGAATATTAAAGTGTATGAGAATATTGTGATAGATAAGAAATATTTTACGGATTTAACTCAGTTGTTGATACGGAAACGGAAGAATTTCATGCATTTTTTAAATTTTAAAATATTTTCGATATAGCAAAGTTTAAGTGCATGAGAAGAAATAAAGATAATAATACAAAGTATTTGAACTTATGTGTAAATCAAATGCGAGGAATTCTTGTGTACAAACGCGTAAGCATTTAAGAAGGGTTAAGAACAGTGATTTGTCTCGTTTTCTCTGACACTTTATTTCGCAGAAATCTTCTACAGTAATTCATATATTTACTAACAATTGTAGAACTTCAAATTAAAATCAAATTTTATCTTTTTTATTCTATTATTGGTTTCGATTTTGAAGGAACGTGTGAGAATGTAAAAGGTGGAAAGTGCAATTACAAGAGGAAGGGCAAAAATTTCGCGGAAAATAATTGTATTCGATTATGGCAGCGCAGAAAACGTAAATAATAATTTGCAAGTATAATTTCATCGAGTGCATTTATTAGCTGCAAATTGTTTATGGTTATTAGCACGGCTACGCATTTGAAAATGAAAATTTCAAATATCGCGCTTTCGAATCCGACGACTGTTTCTTTATTTTTTAGAATGCATTTTAAAATGCATGTGGGTGAGCGTCAATTTCTAATCTTGACCCTATTGATTTTTAAGAGTGTTTATTAATTTATCGGAAGTTCAAGACATTAGTAGTTTTGCAGATTTAATCTTAGAAAAATTGCATTATGGTCTGCTTGTAGTTAGTTTATCAAACTCATCGGGACAACTTGTTTTTAGTCTACATAGCGATTTTATTGTCGTAAAATTCAAATTCTTCGGTGCATCCAAGCAGATGTACAAAATTCATTGGGACAACTTGCTTTTAGTGTACATAATAATTTAATTGTAGTACATTTCAATTTTTTCAATAATTTCAAAGGGGTTCGCGTATTATGGTATATAAAATGAAAGCATATTTTTTTCACAAGTTTTGTCAAAGAAATTATTAATTAAAAATTGTATTATAATGAGGCTTTATGGTAATTTTATATTTAACTTGGGAAGGCAATCAAATATATAAATGTGTGTAAACAAATATTTATGCCTTTTTGAAACATTAAAATTGTACGTACGCACGCCTGCACAATTCTATATAAATTACTCGAATCTTTATTTTTTAACGTATTTAATAATTATATATGTTTTTATTGCAAACAGTTTTATGACAAAGTAATATTTCAAGTTAAAGACAGTTAAAACTCAAAGTCATATGTTGCTTGAATAAAGCATAGGAAAATGTAAAATCACACCACACTTTCAACAAAAAATATATTTTCCGAGTTTCAATGGTGATCGTCTTCTGAAAGGTAATAATATCTGGCTCTCTTTTTTTGAGGTTAAGCGTTGCAGGATTTGATACCTAACCTCTAAATAAACTAGCAATGGGTGAGTACCTCAGTATTTGTATAGTTATCCGTGCCCCGCTATCCGCGAAATCATCATGAGCTAACGAGTCTATTGTAGAGCCTTTTTTTAAAAAGCGTGATTTTGGAGGCAGAACATGGGCCTTTTGAAAAGTCCGTCATCGTTTGTCAGATAAGAAAGCGGTGATATCAATCCTGTGCAAGTGGTCTTATGGTCTTAACATTGCTTAGTAGTCCTTTTTATAAAGTTGACATCTCTTCGTGCTCTCGAGTTAAAACATTCGCGGATCTGGAGTGTAGAGGCACGCAGACCAATTACTCAAGCATATACATATTTCCTCGGTTAGGACAGGAGAAGAATACTGAAGTCGAGAAGCAGAATAAAGAAGTCGGGGGAGCATTGTATCGAGTAAGCGTTACTAATGATGTATTGCGAAAGTACTGGCGAATATAATGAATTTATCGTTCGTCTTCATGCACAATATTAATTAGAATTATTTTCCGATCGTCATTGAGTTGGGCTCCATTGGTCATTTTGGCGAAAAGAAGGCGAAAAGTAGTAGGGAAAAAAGACCGGTAAAACAACAAGAGATTACGTTTGCTCCGCGGGGTATTTAAATGACTTTCATATATAAATATCTCCGTAGCTGCGCGTATAAACGCGTAATAAAAGGCAATCGAAATAATAAGCTGGAGAACGTGGCCCATTGCAGTGCACGTCGTGCTTGTCTGCACGTGTACGTACGAGTGCATGCAAGTGGAGAGTGGCACGGATCACTTTCACGCTGTGGAGTCTCACCGACTACAGCTCGCGGAGGAATCAAGAGCAAACGGCCGCCCTCGGTCCTTTTTATCCACGTCAATTAGTTGCTGCTAGCAAGTTCCCATATGAAGGGGGTTCTAGGAGATTCGCATTTTCGTTAGTCCCGAGATCGATACATTAGTACCTTGAATCGTCGAGCGGTGTTTTCGTGATGTCGTAGCCGATATTTTTCGTGCGCCCTTGTTTGTCAAATGGCAATGTCACTTGGCTAAATTGGTTGCTAACAGCTTCGCCACAAGTTTTGAGAAACTCCTGTTTATTGGCTAAAAATAAAAATTATAGAAAATGGATCGACGAAAGATTTTTAATTCAAATTTTCTTTAGCACGACATTCGCATAATAATTATTTTTCCCATTGCAGGAAATAGCATGAAATTTAGTGTGGGAATCAGCTCGAGCAATACACATTATCAAATATAAATGTTAGTAAAATAAACTCATTTACTTCGCTTAATATGGTAATTTTAATGCCGGCTGATATAAAATTGTACTATTACCCTTTCAAAAGACAGTGAAACATGTAACATCACCTTGCCATTCGCTATGGACGTAGCTGATATTGTTACGACGTTGAATAAATTTTGAGATAAGCTAGATTAAGCTAAAATGTGTTAAATTAAATTACATAAATGAGAATTTTGATAATTTGGCATTTAGCGAGTGAGCGGAACATCTTATTTTTACGGCTTCTATCTGCCGCTTCTTGGTATGCTGTGTAAGAGTTTCGAACTTGGCTAGCAAAGGCTCTTTACTATCCTCCAAATCCGATAAGATATTACTGCTGATAAGTTATTATAGGTGCGACGTGTGCATTACATACATAGTAGACCGTTTACTTTATAAAAATGATGCTGAAATCGAAGCGCTGAATCACAGGAATGATCGCGACTTCTGTCTCAGGTTAATCAATTTTTCAAGGGTGTAGTTTTTGAAGAGTTTCGCGAGTCGATATAATAGGATGGTTTTATTTTTAGCAACAATTTAGGACTATAAAACATTGAATAACCTAATTTTGTTGTTGAAATTGTTGGCTGAAAGCAGGGGCAATGGTAAATTGTGATTATGAGTCGCTTCTAATAAAGATTCATTTTGCCCTCTGGGTGCTTGGTCGTTAATAACTTTTCAATTTTCTTACCTGAGGTCTTTCCCGAGTTCTAATTCGGAAAAGCAACGTAGATAGGTAATGCTATAGGAAAAAATCTTTAGATGTTTATCCGCTCAGACAGCGAGAACATGACTTTTAATTTTTTATACATATATGGGATCACATCGTTCGATTATAGATTTTTGACGCTTTCGATAATGGATCAGATCAATTAGTTAATTTATTGCAATCACCATTATTATTATCACTTCGAAATCGGTGTGACGTATTCATGAGCTGTTTGAATTTCGAGAAATTGTTGAGAGATAAGCCTGCGAGACTGAACGACAAGTATATATTTTTCCCTTGGCTCTTCATGCGCTCTAAAAAGAAATTGATAAGGCCTATGTGTCAATTCGACGACAAGATAAATTGAATGGCGCCTGAATCATCTTTTACTTATTATTTTCAGTTCGTCCGAAGCTTTTAATATATATATATATATATATATATATATATATATATATATATACATATAGTACGATTTTATGGACGTGTCAAGAGAACAATTCTGAATAAATGGTTGTAATTATACAAAGGACAGCCTCGATTTTCGCTATAATTACATAAATATTTGTAGAAAACTAACAATCGTAATTATTTATTATCTCGTCATCTTCTTTTTCATGAAAAATTCCCTGATATGAGCTTCTATTCGTAATTGTTGAAGAAAATCAGTGCTAAATTCATGTAATATATTAGCCACGTAAAACCTTCCATTGCAGAGACGCTCATTTTCTTATTTCTTATTTTAATTAAATTCTTAATCAGCCCGGGCCGACTGCCACATTCCGTCTCTCTTATAATCTTATCGATTTAGACCTTACGCACAGATATCTTATCGACTTTTATTTTTCAAGTGCTTTATTTGCCGAATAAGTTGCGCGTCTCGGTGCGGCGATGTCGCGTACCCTGAAGGAAGAATCACAATGATATTGAAAAATATTTGAACGATTTTATTTAAACTTTCAATTGATTATTTCATATTGGTTAAGGCATTTACAAAATATATTATAATTTTGCTAATAGGTCGTTTTCTGTTTCATTTTTTGTTTTTGAGTACGTAGGTTTGCGGCTATGTAGATATGGCAACAGAAGGTTCATCGCGAATAGATCGTAAATCAATGCTTTACTACCAGCCATAAATATCGCGAAACGTTATGCGCAAAAAAAGTCAACCGATAGTTTAATAAATATAACAACATTATAAATATTTGTTCGATTATTTTTCCTCAATTAGATATTTTATAATAGCAAAAATTGATTGACATTATTCTTTGGCAAATCGATACATTATGCTTGTATGCGTGTGTTGTGCCGTGGGTGCATGCATGTATACGTGTACGCGCGTTTGAGTAACAAATAAGCACACCCAATACGCCGGGAGCAAGTTTTGGTGATTGCGTCATGATGACCTTGATTATCGATGATTTTGTTGATAAATAATTTGGAGTTTCATGCGTTGGCCTCAGTGTCTCGTTATTGAGGCTAGAATCAGCACGCAATTGAGTAAGATCGTGCGTAGATCGGATTTTTCTTTTATCGTTACACTTCATCGGACGCGGACGACTTATTCTGGTAAGTTTTTTCCAGTTACGAGAATTATTTTTTCACCAATTGATTTAATCTACTTAGTTTTATAATAATGATTGTATAAGTGTATTTTATGGTTAAGTGCCAATTTAGCTTGAATATTTATTTACTTTTTCGTCGAAAACAAATTTGCAATTATTTTATCACTAAAGCAGGATGTATAATTATTGATGATTAAGCAATTGTCGTAATAACTTTGTTCCTCACCATATATTATATTTTAATAATATTCTTTCAATAACTTATATTTTTCAATAAATAAATCGCATTTCATAATGAATATTAATTGAATATTTTTTTCATTCCTATGAAAACATTGATTTCTACATAAAAACTGTAATTTTTTTGTCGTATGTTAAAAACAGTATTTGGAATATTCACTTTGTCTACTTTTCTTTCTCAAACATACGCGTATAAAAGCGGAGAAAAAAAACATGTACCGTAAAGTACACGAGGCAATGATCCGACACTTGATCCGACGATTTTCGCTTTAAGACTACCCATTTAAAGAACGATAGTAACCGATCTGCACGACGCCCCGAAGGAGCTCTTAATTTCACATAAGCCGATTTACTCACGATGATCGTGGTTGCTTTAAAAAAACGATGAAAAGAGGACCACTGTGTACTCAATTAAATTACATGTTCTTAGTCAGTTGTTATACGAAATAGTTGGATTATTGATTCATTTTTACACAAGCAAATCAACTTCTTTATAGATTTATACACATTTATAGTATGTTTGATTAAATATTATTATTATTATTATTTTATTATTATGATTATTATTAATTTTATCATCATTATCATTATCATCATCATCATTATCATCATCATCATCAACAACAACATTATCATCATCATCATTTTTGTTGTATTATTGTAGAAAATTTAAAACTATTACAACAATAATAATGATAGAACAGTGTAGATTAATTATATGAAATTTTTTAGACACAAAAATTGTCTTTTGCCAAGTGTATTTATTTTTTAGTTATATAAAAGTTACATGAGAATCATGTATCGATTAAGCCACTTGATATTTATATATTAATTTCATCATAAAACAAGTACATTTGTAAGTTTTTAAAATAAACTTCATATATATTCCTTCAATAAAATGTGAATATAAATAGATATTAAATTATCAGGTGTACCAGATTAAAAATTATTGACGACAAACTCCATATCAAGTGATTAGAATCAATGTTTTTACGTTTCATTACAGATTAAATTTTTGAATACATCCTAAAATGAATAGAGTAAAAAAATTTTATAACGATACATTTGTTTACATTGTGAGTTGATTTTTTTTCTATATTAATTATAAAGTTGTCTTTGGCGTGAAATGCAAATTACAAATACATATGAAGTTGCTCGCCTCCCTTTCTTTGTATTGTATTTTTTAAATAAGTAATTTGCTAGTTGCAAGAATATTCTAACCAATGTTCTCACCTTTGTAGTCTATTGTTCATTTGATATTCGACGAAATCGGTGCGCACTGTTGAAAGTATATGAAATTGAAATCGCCGTAAATCTTTGGATAATAGTCGATAGATAACAGCATATATGAATAGATATGTCAATGTATAAAAAGAGATTGTATGAGAATTGGACAAAGTAATATATAGACGAGAAAAAGATCTGAGATGAGCTTTCTTTTGCTTTCAGGAGCGAACGAGCTTTTTAAGAAAATTGAGCTCATTTCAAATGCTGAGTTCATTCTAAGGAAATTTTGGCCGCATCAGCGGCGCACCGCTAATCAGAGAGTGAGAAGAACCGTTCCGTGCACCGAGTCACGGCATTAGGAGCAACCGCCCGAGTCTTGATCACCCAGGAGAGTGTACGCGCTTCGGTGCGGACCCCAAACTACGAAAATTCTCGACTACATAATGGACATGAGCAGCGAATCGAGTGCGGCGCGCTGGTACGAGCCGCCGAGGAGCCTTGAGCCCGCTTCGGCGGGTGGGGCCGGTGGTGGTGGCGGCGGTAACAACCCCGGGGGCGTCGTCGGCAACCCTGGTGACTACCGGGGTTACTACCCCCACGCTGGGCCGACTCATCATCCCGCGGCGGCAGCGCACTACGCGCACAGTGAGTATACTGTCGGAGGGCGGCTCTTATCTCTTTATTCTTTCGCGGCTCGCTTAACGCGCCCCATTCACCTTAGAATCTCTCAGTACGTTATTAATGGCATGAATTTGATGGTTTGGGTATCCGGAACAAACTGAGTGCAATTGCTGTTCAATGTTTGGGGGCGAGGAATTATGATGAGAGAAACGATTGGAAATCGTCAACGGCGTCAGCCTGCGCGAGCCGAAGCGTTGTTTCGAAGAAAGCTTCGCATTTCTTAATCCAAGCGAAAGAGAAGAATGGAGACATTTGTCACGCGAATACCGAGGACGTATCGATAAGTCTAGTCATTACTCGGCCATAAATTCCGAAATTTCACGCCCAAAGTTTTCATTAAACTCGTCGACAGGGAACGAGGCGTATACGCCAGGCACGAGTGTCGCGTCCGTCGCAGCTTATTCCGCTCCTCGACGAAATTTCTTGTTTACCTGTCCAAGTCGCAAAACCCGGTCCTCACGTGTTCGGAATATTTCATCGTTCAATCGTCGGAGGGAATTCTTGAGAGTTTCAGACCGCCGACGCATTGGCAACCTACCTGTATCGATTTTGTCAATTCTTCCCTCTGCTTACGCAATTTCTACCTTATGAATATTTCTTTTGCACCATCCTTCAATTAGATATCTCTAGGAATTGCAATTTTTTACCATTAAATTGCGCGAAAATTTTTCCGTATTTCAATTTTATCGCAAGATATTTGCCTACGATTTTCGAGGCACGATATTCCGGATTGGCAAAGAAAGCTCAATGGTCATCCTCTTGCGCTTCATTCGACGTAGTCGGTTGGGAATTTATTTCGGATGAGCGCTGTTTTAGCTTTCTGCATAATTTTAATACAACGTTCACGTTTCACAGACTGATTCACATTAATGAATGGTAAATTTTGATACTTTGTACTACAAAGTTTAACAATATTCAAATTTTTATCCAAATATCGTTTCGGCAATAAGCAGGAATTGTT